AAGAGCGGTATGACGATAAAGGTTGTTTAGAACAAGTGCAGGATCTACTCCTCGTTTGATCTGTAGATAAATATTTCAAGGTCCGAATATTCCAATATGAAATTTTACAGCAGGCTAACTGTCAAAGGAAGGTATCCAATCTAAGTGCTGAGGAAATAGTTAGATACCTCAATAACCACTCGCATCCCAGTACGATCACTCTCATCACGTATGTCACTAATGCCCTCTAGTGTCTGACAACCAACAAAACATGATATCAATAAAGGAGAGCTTGTTGCTACTCACATTAGATAGACATGTTGAGACCTTTAACAGGATTGGGCATAGTAAAAATAATGAAACCTTATGTAGCTCAATACCAGCTTCATTCTTGTAATACATTTTTCGAATACAATAAGGCACAGCCAAAAGTAGTAGTTCAAAGGAAAGTACGAACATATTAGGCTTAGCCAATCTTTTCTTTACTAAGATCAGGGAAAAACCGAATAAATTAAACATCATAAGGTACCTTATTTTCAACAAGCTCAGCAATCTTCTCAACCAGCGAAGCTTTGTTTGTCTGGTAAGGAATCTGCAATATCATAAGTTTCAATAAAGAATTACTCAAATTGCTTACTGTGGTCATTATAGTGCCAACAAACACCTTCTGAGAGCCTCTTCATGGGGAGGCAATTTACATTAATGAATGACCAACATCATCACCTCTTTAATAATAACCGCATTGCGCTTTGTTTTTGGATCCAGCAATTCAACTTCAGTTTTTCCTCTGACTACAACACGTCCTCGACCAGTGCGGTAAGCATCTAAAATCCTTAAAAGGACATACAAATATTAGAGCACCGATGAAATATTAAACATTTTCTTTCATATATCCTTGGAAGAAAATGGCATATCCAAGAATATTGATCTAATATGCTAACATCTATTACATAAGGCATATGCTTCTAGGAACCCAAATCATGAATCTTGTTTAATTTCACAACACTTAGGATCATTTTTAAGATTGCACAGGACAAATAAAATAAGGGGCAATCTATTTGCTGGGGAAGCCCTTTCACACGGACATGAGAATTTTCTAGGTTATGTACATTCTTTAAGTCATATAAGTACAGCTTATGATAATCTGTCAGGATTATAATCAGGCTACCCTAAAATATAACGTTAGAACATATTTTTGTCATATTTATTCCCTTAGATTTTAGGATAATATCAATGAATCAGATCACAAACACCAAACAAACTACATATATGAGTATGCCGGAATCTAAAAAAAATATTGCTAACTGTTGATAAGCTCAGAGAGCAATACCACACTATCACATCTAACTTACATAAGATTGCCTATTGGAGCGAAAGACAAAAAAAACAAAGAAAAAAGTTACCCGAGGTTTCCCATGATTATTCCCCCAGTAGGGAAGTCAGGCCCAGGCATGTATTCCAACAGTTCTTGCAGCTAATCAAGAGGAAAAAGAAATAGAAACACCAAAACATCATTGTACAACCAAGCTTAGATAAGAAGAGTTAGTACAAAAAAACTAAAACCTACAGTCACATTAAGACAAAATGCAAACATGGCGTGCATTTGGATCATACCGTGGCTTCAGGATTACGGATTAAAGCACAAAGCACATCTACCAACTCTCCAAGATTATGAGGAGGAATATTTGTTGCCATCCCAACCTAAACAATGTAAAATGTTCTCAAATCATTAGTTTACATGATTAAGGAGCAGTACAAACTGTTCAAGAGAATCAACTCATAAAATCTTAAAGAAAATAAGTATGAAGTTCGTATTAAAACATCGAGATGATATTACCGCAATCCCCGAAGCACCATTCAGCAATAAAGCAGGAAGACGTGCAGGTAACACTGATGGCTCTTTTTGAGAATTATCAAAGTTATCCAAATAATCGACCTGCAAGAAGAAATAAGAAAATAAGGGAGCTAAAACATACCATGAATATTAAACGCATCGGTAAACTTGCAAGGAGTGTAGAATGACAATTACCGTATCTTGATCAAGATCAGCTAATAGCATAGCTTCTGACAGAGCCTGCACAGGGAAATAAGATTGTCATCTGTGAGAGAATATAAAAGACAAGTAACAGAACAAGAACATATTCATTTCCTAAATGAGAGAGAAAAGGAAGGAGAGAGTATCACAACAAGGTAAGCATATAGAAAAAATCAAGCTAATGAGCAGTAAATTTGAGATCTTAGAGGACCAAAAGGAGCAACTTTTGCAAGGGAAACCCCCTTGTGAATCAAGAGAACATATCTGAAGTAAAAGCAAGAGCAAATGCCCAGAAAATAACATGTCAACTTTAAGTAAAAACGACAAGATAGGTGCTCACATCGAGCCTGCATTCGGTGTAACGCATAGCAGCAGGAGGGTCTGCATCTATGGAACCAAAATTTCCGTGGCCTTGGATAAGGGGGCATCTCAAGGAGAAATCCTGAGAAGCACCAGAGGTAAACGTTCATGGCTAAGAAATCAGTATTGTAAGAATCAATACACAATATCTGCCAAGGAAACATTACTTGAACACTGAACTACATTGACACAGATTTATACATTCTCAATACCCAAATTACCTGGGCCATCCGGACAAGTGAATCATAAACTGCTGTATCTCCATGCGGATGAAATTTACCTAAAACCTGCAATGCAACCATCATCATGACATTCATTCCACCAAATCCAAAAAGCTAAGACCGGAAAGCAGCAATTATTATATTGAAGGAGGAGAAATAATTCCAAACAATCACATTACCTCTCCAACAACTCGAGCACATTTCTTGAATGGCTTTCTCGAAGACAGTCCCAACTCATGCATCGCATAACTGGAACCCAAATTTAAAATAATTTCAGAACGAGAAATTTCAAACACGAACCGAAGAAAGAGGGGAAAAAAAGAAAACCTAAATTTAAAAGCTTTAAGCTGATACTCAACAGAATTCTTCGATGAACAGGCTTCAGACCGTCTCTAACATCAGGCAGTGCTCGACCAAGCAAAACGGAGAGCGCATACGCCATGTACGATTCAGTAGCCTCCTTGTGAAGCTCGGTGGACACAACACGTGGACCGTAGCTATCACCCCCAGAAGCCGACAAACCGCCATTGTTGGCTCCTTTGTTCTCCTCATTGAACTGCTCGTCCGCGCGCTTTGCGGCGCCGACGACACGGACGGGCCGAGAAGTGCGAGAGGAGAAGAACCGAGCTCCGGCGAGTTCGTGGCGGGATAGACGAAGTGGGTCGGATTGCGGGAAACGGAAGAGACGGGTGGGGTTGAGGGAGCGGCGGAGGAGGGAAGTAGAGAGACGGAGAGTGGAGGAGAGAGACATGATAAAGGCAGGGTTAGAGGTGGGTAAGGTAGAATGGCACAACGCAGACATGCCCAAGAGGGGAGAAGCTTGATGGTCTTAGGGTTTCAGAACCGGATAGGCTAAAACCCTAGAAGAGAGGGAAGCGACTCAACGGAGGGTTTCTCAGGCGCCAAGTTCAAGAATCAAGACTTTTGGCCTTTGCTCCAAGGAGGAAAAAAAATGTGTCTGAAAATGTGAATATTTGCATATATTCACAAGTCGGACCCTTTTATATGTATTATTTGCATATAAATACCTTAAGAATAAAGATTTCGCCTTTTTGTGCCGTTTCCATAAATTCATCACCTTTAATCCTCAGATTATTTTTTTTTGTGGGTGTTTGAGAAGAACAGTCGGAAGAAGATCGCAGGATGAGCGCCGAAGATTTTCAGAAGAAGGTTTCGATCAGAGATTCACTTGCCGACGAAATCGAAATCGAAGACGGCATCGCCGGCTCCGCCGTCGGCGGAGGCTTCGGCGCCGGAAGAACCCTGCTTCAGCTTCGGAGGCTGTTAGAAATTCAACAGCATCGAGCCCAGGCTTACGCCAAGCTCAAAAGGTTCGACGAAATCGAGAAAAAAAAAAGGATCAAAATTTCGTGAAGTCTATGTTCTTCTATCTGGTAATTTAGGGTTCTGTTAATCGGGATCATCATGCGTCATTGATCATTTCCATTGCGTTGTTTAATTCGTTTGAGCTGTGTTTTTTTTGAAACAGAAATCTGTTTCCTTGTCCGAAACTTGGTCGGAATCAATGATTAACAAAACTTTAAGTACGGAACATTATGAAAGCTTGGAATCTGTGTCTGATAGGGTTTAGATTTGCGGACATCAAGAAGTTTGCATGTTTTCTTCAGATATGCTTCTGATGAAGACTTTGTTCCGATTCCATTACCAGAGGTTTCTCGGAGTATATGGAAACTGGTGCGGAATCACCTTATCAGAAGCTTTGCAGTGAGATCACAGTGGAATTCGGTGACTGTTCGAAACAAGTATGGATCCTAATCTGGTGTCTTGACAATATTTATGCTCTTTGGTGGTAAAGATTTCGCTTTGGATGAATTCAGGTGCGTGAAATGGAAACCCTGTTTCTGAATCCCGAACTTGGACGAGCTGATCTCGCTGAGCTTCTCAGAAACATTCAAACCCAAGAAAAGCAGAAACTGCATTTGGTAAGAATCCCAACTCAGTAACTTTCTGTTTCAAGATGGGAACTTTTACTGAATTTTCAACAAATACTCGTTATACGATAGAAAATGGATTCTCCAGTTTCATGCTGTTGAAAATTATCGCCATATTACATCTGAGTTTGCCGAAGAATGTTTCTTTATTCACTATACTACATCTGAGTTTGCCGAAGAATGTTACTTGATTCACTATAGTACATCTGGGTTTGCAAAAGAATGTTTCTTTATCGCTACATTACGCCTGGGGTTGCCGAAGAATGTTTCTTTATCGCTATATTACATCTGGGTTTACTGAAGAATATTCCTTTATTGCTGTATTGCATCTGAGTTTGCCGAAGAATGGTTCTTACTCGTGTTTTTCCCCCCGAAAAGACGGCGACAATACAGGTATTGAAGAAGGCAGGTCGGCCATCAGAACGAGTGCTAACTCACGAGAAGTGCAAATTCAAGAAACCGATGGAGCACGAATGCGTGCATCTGCACGAGATAACGGAGGCAGTGGGAACAGAGGACGCAGAGGCGGATGCTGAATACGACAATGCTCTCAAGGAAGCCATTAGAGGAGTGCAGGAAGCTGTTACTTCCATCAACGAGTCCTTGGAAGAAATCCGGTATGAAATAGCTGCCCTTGAAGATCACTGACTTCCTTGATTTTTATGCCCATCTCCGATTGCCTCTCGAGGTCATAAATCGTTTTTGTTCATTTGGCGTAAGTACTGCTAAAAAAGATTAGGACAAAGCATGTAAAAGAATGGGAAGTAATTAGATTTATTCCTCAAAGGCATACCTCTTGTGAGTTGCTCTATGTAGCCATTGCAGACGAGAAGACGTTATGAAATACACTCCGTTTCATAACGTTTTCATTCTTCAGTTCCTTGTGTTACTACGAACAGAAAAAAGACTAAGAACTAAGACTTTATGACCTTTTTCTCAAGTTGAAGCCTGCAACGGGAGAAAATAACAGAAGAACCCACCCAAATCACCTTTTGTTTGCCTTATTTTATAAAATCACATTTCAGTCCTCAGTAATTGAATATTTTATTTTTTCCTCTATACTTTCAATATTTACATTTTAATCCAATAGCCTTTCTCTGCCGTCTGGACGCAGTTTCCCGAACCAAGGGTTCTATCGGATGACATAATATTTACAGTGTAAAAAGAATATCTTGCATTCATCACCAAAGAACAGTGTAGTTTAATGTGTTAAGAATTGCTGGATTTCTACAAACCCTACAAGCAAGCTCTCATGGGAGAAAACTGACCAGAGATTCTCTCGTCCCAGTATGTGACAATGAATGAATATAAGGAATCAACAAAGGAAAACACGACCATTCCAAGACCAAAAACTCGTGAAGGTTTCTGAAGTGAAGTATAAACCTAAACCGAAACCACGGCCAATGTGATCAGAGAACACGAGCAGAGTGACCGGCCTCACAGATCAGAACCGTGTTCTCGTGGTTCAGTTGATTCATCAGCTCGGGTTGCAGCTTTCGGTACTCGTTCTTCACGTATGAAGCAGCTGCTTCTGCTTTCTCTGCGTCTACAAAGGCAAGACAGCATCCCCTGAAACCAGCTCCGCTGAACCGAGCTCCATATACACCCGGAGCCCGTATAAGAATATTGTATAGCTGTATCAGCGGCTCCGCACCTTCACCACAGAGTTGCAGAAACTTGTAAGTTGTAACCAAGTTAGAATCTTAGACGAAAACAAGTGCTTTCCATCCGATTTCCTGGAGGTGGCACTTAAGATATGTTGCATTGGGCAGAGAAACCGAGAGAGAGTATAATACCGCATTCATAATTTTCAATAGAACTCAGCCCCGAGGCTGAAATTAGCTTTCCGAATTCTTCAAGATTCCCCGACGCCCAAACTTCTAGTCCTGAAATAAGAGTCATAAAAATAATTCATATGAGTCGGCAAACAATAAATAGAGATAGATTGATGAACAACACGTTGTATTATATCCTTTATCACGAAACTTCTATGAGAATATGATGAGAGCATTGCCTCTGGTAACCCGCGAGTTCTCTGAGAAATAATGCTCCGCTCTTCTAGCTAAATGAGGGTCCAACTCATGCTGCAAGAACAAGTAGAATGCATGCATGATATATATATGCCCCATAAATTAGGATCCGTTCTATCACAAGCTTAAGAATGTTGAGCTTTGTTACCTTGTGAGCTTCATAGACAGCAAGCTCAACTGCTCGGTTGAGACAGTGAAGAAGGATCAACAGGAAACTTCGTTAGTATGTGAAGAATAAGAGCTTGAAGCCAGAGACAGAGAATAAGTGTTCTTACCGTTACACAGGGTAGGTTCCAGCTCACTGTTTCCAGAAGCACTGAAGACAAGAAAAGGGTTTGGGTAAGAAAACAAGTGTCACTGAAAAAATAGCATCAGAATATTTTGCCAGCATGCGTAGAAGAAGACTAGTAAGAGTAGCAAGAAGCATATCGGGTACGGCTGCTAATTAAGTGAATTTTGACAATGTTTAAGGGCACAGAATCATACGCCAACAGAACTTTAGCAGCCTCTTGACACTCAGCAACTCGACGATTATATCCTGGGTTGGTCGTCAATGCCTGCCTCAAGCCTGAGAATGCTAACAAAATCTTGAATGGTCTCTCCAGTTCAGGTGCATGCACAAGCTTGTGTTCCTTAGTCTGCATATTTCAAACTGTACTTCTGAGATGCCAGTTTCTGAGGAGGAAAGAAAGATAAGGAAGCAGCATTTGCATTTCCATATCAACACCTGATTTAAGCTATTTACCTTCAGATCGAAATTGCCTATTTTCCCATTACGTTAGAAACTAAGCATCGGCATAAATGAGCACCGAACTGTAACGAAAAAGTACCTAACTTTTCCAACATCAACCAGTTCACAACTTATAATTGAGAATGATAGTTGTGATTTGGCGGGTGTCTCAAATTTTCACTTTCAAAAATTTTTCTCAAGTCTGTCATGTGACCTTGAATTTTTTGCCCAGATGGAAGCTCTACAACACTCTTGGTTTCACCCAATAAATCTGAGATAGCTTTCTTTAGGCACAAATCGAGGAAATAATACCTTGCAGTCCATGCATGTTAGACACCCATAACTTGAAAGCAAAATGGCTGATTGATCCAATATTCCATTTCGCAGACCCAGATACCCATTCTCGATAAGTCTGTCCATGCAGGAAAGTAACTGTTAAACAACCAACTTGCAGCAATCCCAAATGCTTGTGAAAGCAACAGGAAGAACTCGGTACTTGCATAGAAGCAAAAGTAGTACTTTACCTGTCATATTCGATGTTTTCCGTTGGTGATACTGCCAATTCATTTGCACTCTCAAATGCTAGCAGATAAGCAACACCAACCTGTCACAGTTCCAAGTCATCAAATGATCATTCTTCATCTACAGAAGCCATAAAAGTATTTCAAAGTACAATGAATAACTGCATGAAGGAGAAAGCCCTGCTGTACAAAGCTAGTTGGTACAATTACTTACAGCAGCAGAAGAGCTAAGCCCAGAACTATCAAGTCCATCAGAGCCGCTGATGTAACCAATAATGCCCTTCAAAGAAAAAAATACTATCAGAATCATACTATAAGAAATTCTGTTTGAAAACGCGACGATGCTGACTATCATGGGAAAAAAGGCCCCAAAAAAAGGCCCCAAAACCCTAATATCAGCTACGCCATCATAAGAAGGGAATATGGGAAACCCAAAAAGACGTTTGTAAAAATTTGATAACTCCAAACTGTCCTCCAACGACTAAAATGTTGCATAAATCAACAACAAGCCAAATGGGAATGTTTACCTGTTGGAGATTGTTCCCCTTGCTCTGTAATGCGTACAATGCTCCTTTGGCATAAGTGCCCCAGGTTCCTTTTTCTCTCAACGGAGAAGTGGAAATTCCGCCATTCTTGTTTGCCAGGTGTATTGGGTGTTGGGTTTCATCAACTCTATCATTTCATTCCCCAAAAAGCTGTTATAGTACGGTGGAAAGTATATCTTCAAGAATAACCAATTCCTTTCACAGAACCATGGATAAATAATTGATACGTACTAGGAGAACGAAAGGAACTACTACTAGGAAAACCTGCAGCATAGATGATGCATGGTACGAAAATATAAAAATTTATGTACATGCTAGATTTTGTAACACTGACAATTTTGTCTCCTTCACAGCACTAAGAGTTCTCAGTTTCCAAGATATCCTATTGAAAGATCAACAAACTTTATGGTTGAAACCACACTTGAACAGAAAACCGGTAAGAAGAAGCTTCAGCGTATCCAAGATGCTCATTTGGACCACTATTAGGTTTAGCAGTCAAAATACTTCTCTTGGAGCTTGATGATAGAAATATGACAGTGTACATAACAAGATGTCAGATTGAAGAAATCAAACACACCTGAAATGTACTTCTCCTTCAAACTGTGCAGAACGCAATACAACCTACACAAATATTTAGAATGAGAAGTGATGGTACACGGTAAAATAAGACAGAGTTAACCACAATGACACCAGAAACTTTCTCGTTGAGAGCACCCAACTTATATAGAGATATCATACTATCATTTCTTAGTCCGAATGATGTACTAAAGCAATATCATCGAGTTCTTCAAGTGTTATTTCAACGAGATGAAAGATATTCAGAAAAGGAACGAAAACAGCAAAAAAACAATTAAAACAAAATAATGAAGATGAGAAACCTGACATCGCAAAACACCCACCATTAGATGATAAGAAATGTTAAAGTATACATCTTTCTAAACATTTAGGATCTGCATCACTACCTACATTTTCCGCTTTCAAATCAAACGGACCCTAGAATACGGAAGGCCAATGTCCTTAAGAACTTGCAGCACGAGGGTCAATATAACATTAACAGGACAATAATGGGCAGAGGTGAAACAATTCCAAACCACAGTTTCTCCTATCGAGTATATACCTTAGGATCACCAGATGGAACGAAGCCCAGAAGAATTCCTTTGTTAATCGTCATAGCCGACACGGTTCCACCCTGAAACAAAAAAGATGATTGATCAAACATGAGCATCGGAGAACTTTACGGCTTAATTAGAACATCGACATTGTTACGACCCACCAACCTGGTGATCGATATGAGCTCCCAGAGGACATATACGATAAGGAGCAACCACAACTCGAACTTCCCCAGCATCTCTTCCACTCATCTGGGCCACAGCATTCTTTATGGCATTTAACTGGATTGCATCAAACAGAACAACACAAGTACGCATCAAAAAATCCAATCCAAATTTCAAACGCGAAGCGACGCAGCATTCTTCAAAAACATGTTCAACAGACATTTCCCAGAAAATCTCTCGGGACTCACCAACACCCAGTCCATGAATACGTGATTGGGAAGAGTATTCGGGACATGCGAAATCGAGGAGATGAATCGGGAAGATTATTACCTCTGTGTCGGTAGGCCATGACATTTTGCGGAGTTTTCTCGGAATTATTGGATATTCAGGAAATTTTCTCGGAAAAAGTTGAGGAAAAAAAACCGATGTTTCGCGGTGGAGGGAGGATGCAGAGGAAGCGCGAGATCTGGAGAGTGAGAGTCGAACTCGGATAAGAGCCAAATAGGTTGTTTGGTAACACGTATATCTCTATCCTTTGGTGGTGTTTGGTAACACGTATATCTTTTATTTACTTGGTTCACAAGCAACAACAACGTATATGACAACTAAACCTCCGAAGTTTATATCTCAATGAAAATGTTTGGTTTTTCTTGCCATGCAAGAAACAAATAAGGTAACAAAAATGCTGTTTTATGAGAGATTTAAAACTTAATTTTGATGTTACAATACATATATCATAATTTTGATGTTACTATTATAGATAAAAAATGTTGGTATTGGTTGGCAAAATGAACCGTTCAATGCAAGAGACATTCCCAACGAATATCTTAATCTCCATTTAATTAATTATATTTAGGAATCCCATCTAAGGATCAATGCCATTACCAAGTCTTTTTTTTTCCTAAGACTTTTATTTAATGAATATATATATATATATATAAATCACTAATCACCGGGCTTTCAATGATACAATTCATCAGTTCGATTTTTTATATCCATAACGATGGACGAATCCACCAACTGCTACCTCATTTTTCTTGCCACTAAAACCCGCACCCGGGTAGCACCTATTCATAGTGGCTCGCACGCAAATGGACCGCGTTAAAAAAATTAATCATTTAATTAGGTTTATTTCCGCATAACTATTTGTATTTATTCCGGCCATCGAACTAAACACTGTCCGAAACGAACATGCACTCGTACGGCAAACTCGACGAGGCGGAGCAAGCGAAGCTCGTAGCTCGCCGGAGAACCAGGAAGAGGATCATAATCATCGCCGTATCCTCCGTCGCGCTCGCATGCATCGTCATCGGAGCCGTCTTCGGAACGACGGCGGTGACTCACGCCGGGAAAAAGTCGCCGGAGAACGGTGGCGGGGACTCTATCTCCGCCTCAGTCAAGGCCGTATGTGACGTCACTCTCTACAAAGACACGTGTTACAGAACCGTTGGGTCTTCTCCTAACGCTACCCGTCTCACCCCTGAAGAGCTCTTCAAGATCGCCGTCGAATTCACCCTTGAATCGCTCTCCAAGTCCGTCGCCAAATTCTCCGGCGGCGGAAAGGAGATGGCGGCGATGGGAGCTTGCAAGGAGCTGATCGAACTCGCGGTGGAGCATCTCAACGAGACGGTGACGTCACTCGACGGGAAGATGACGACGTCGTTATCGGAGTTGGGGGATGATCTGAGGACATGGCTTAGCTCTGTCGTGACGTACCAAGAGACATGCGTCGAAGCATTGCAAGAAACCACGGTGGATCTGAAAACGTACGGAGAAACCAATCTCAAGAACTCGACGGAGATGACGAGCAACGCCTTAGCGATCATAACGTGGCTCACGAAAATATCCGACACGATCAAACTGCGCCGCCGAATGTTGTCTTGGGAGGAAACTGGAAGTGAAACGGCGAGTTTTGCGCGGAGAATGTTACAGGAAAAGGATTTGAGGACGATGGCGAATATCGTGGTGGCGAAAGACGGGACGGGGAATTACACGACGATAGGTCGAGCGTTAGAGGACGTGCCGGAAAAGAGTAGCAACAAGACGATAATATACGTGAAAGAGGGAGTGTACGTGGAGAATGTGAAGGTCGAGAATAGCAAATGGAACGTTGTGATGGTTGGTGACGGACAAGATAAGACCATTGTCTCGTTCGGACTCAACTTCGTCGATGGAACTCCTACGTTTCAGACCGCTACATTCGGTGAGTTCAGGTTCTTCAACCTCACCCATATCCAGCTGTTCATTTTGATTCAATCTCGTGAACCGAATGTTTTTCTTTCGAAGATACTAATACCGTATTGATGTTATCTATATATATCCGTTGCGCAGCTGTGTTCGGGAAGGGCTTCATGGCTAGAGACATGACCTTCCGAAACACAGCGGGTGCAGCCAAGCACCAGGCAGTAGCCCTAATGGTATCAGCCGACCTATCAGCCTTCTACCACTGCACCATGGACGCCTTCCAGGACACCCTCTATGCCCTCTCGCAACGTCAGTTCTACCGCGAATGCACCATCCTCGGCACCGTCGATTTCATATTTGGAAACTCGGCCGTCGTATTCCAGAACTGCACTATCCTCCCCAGACGCCCCATGCCCGGCCAACAGAACACAATAACCGCGCAAGGACGAACAGATCCTAACCAAAACACTGGAATCTCGATCCACAAGTGTAGCATCTCGCCTCTGGACAACCTTGGCGGTGTCCAAACTTTCCTTGGCCGGCCTTGGAAGAATTTCTCGACCACTGTGGTGATGAAATCGTTCATGGACGGATTCATTGATCCGAGAGGGTGGTTGCCGTGGGTCGGAAACACGGCACCGGACACGATTTTCTACGCCGAGTATGGAAATTTGGGAGCAGGAGCTTGGACGAAGAATAGAGTTACGTGGAAAGGTGTGAGGACTTTCTTGACGAAGAAGGCAGCGAATAAGTTCACTGTGAAACCCTTCATCAATGGCGATAAATGGTTGCCAGCTACTGGGTTTCCGTTCAAACCTGATCTTTGAGTTTCTTTGTTCTGTTTTTTTTTCTCTTGGTCGGAATTTATTTTTTAAACTTTTTTTTTGGATTATCTTCTGATTTGTGGTATTGTTTTCGCTTGTGTGGTTTTGTTGTAAAACTTCAAAGATTTGGTTCTTCTTCCCCTTTTGTCCTTGCAAATTTGTTCATGTTGTCATTAAATGTTATCAAGTTATTAGATAATTATTTTCGTTGTATTTTGTTAATAGAACGAGTTTATGTATGAATTATTACAATTTTTACGCGGTCCAAATCAAATAGAACGAGTTTATGTATGCATTATAGTTTCATTTTAATAGAACGAGTTTATTACAATATAAACATCCAAATCAAATACTCCCTCCGTTTTTTAATTAGATAACGATTTAAGAGAATATATTTTGTTACTCAATAGATATTGTTGTTTTAATTTTTTTAGGTGATTTAAAAAAAGTTCCAATTTTATTCTTAATTTTAATGACCCAATTTGAATAGAGTATTAATGAGAAATAATTTAATGATGATATATATAACTTTTTTTATAGTTTTTTAAAAAGTATGAAAAAAATCTAAAACGTAAATTATTCAGAAACGGTCTTGGCATTGCATTATCTCAATTACACATTAATTTCCTCAATAGTATATCCTCGACACATGGAATTATTACAGTAAATTCAAATCCCCAACAACAACTAATCGAATTAATTTCAATACACTTATACCAATAACGTCAACACATGTAACACGTGCTATTTAATCAAACCACTCGTTGTGAAACCAATCCTCCATAGAAGGGAATATCCGTCTGAGGCAACCAAGTATCGCCCACGGTTAGGTTATAGACAGTGAAGTTCAGGGCTTGAGTCAAGTTCATCAAACTGTAACCAGGCCACTGAACCCTAGAACCCGTGTTGGACCCCGGTCCGAAATTCTCGTACTCGCCGTAATATAACGTGTCGAGCCCGACGGTCCCATTCCACTCGAGCCACCCGAGAGGATGGACCACGTCGCTGATGTACGATTGCATGTAAACCGTGCGCGAGTAGGGTTTCCACGGCCGTCCCAAGAACGTCCAGGTCGAGTTCTGGTCGGCTGCTAGGTCTGCGGCCGCTTGGATTGTGCAGTTTTGGATGGAGATTCCCGTATTCTGGTTAGGATCGGTCCGTCCTTGAGCCGTGAATGCGTTTTTTTGCTTGTCCATCGGTTTTCGGGCATATAGGTTACAGTTCTGGAACACTGCAGCTGCGTTTCCGAATATGAAATCGATTGTACCTGTCAACAGAATATAATTATGTCAAATTGTTATTATTGATATTAAAAGAATTTAAATATGTTTAAGAACTCGTAAAAAATGTATAAAAGAGGCTATAAATGTAAAAAAAAAAGGGATAAAAAATAGATCCACGTGAAAATAAGAATGCTAAAAATTAGGATAGAAATTAAAATTAATTATTACCGTAGATGTCGCATTGACGATAGAACTGTCTAAGAGAGTGAACGTAAAGAGTATCTTGATAACCCTCGAAGCTGCACCGATAGAACGTGGACCAGTCGGCGTTGCTCCTCAATGCCACGGCCTGATGCTTTTGTGGCCCGGCCGTGTTCCTGAACGTCACGTCCACCGCCACGAATCGCTCTCCGGCCACCGCTATATATACCCAAACATTATGTCACATCATTTCAAAAACTCGAAAAAAATGACCTTAAACACCTTATTCAAAAAACATAAATAGTAATATTATGTCAATTCTAGGATTATTTAAAACTCTCTTACCGAAGGTTGAAGAGTTATACGTGGTCCAACCATCGACGAAACTGTGATTCCCGGAAATAACAGTCCTGTTGATGCCGTCGCCGATGAGCAAAACGTTCCTTTTGTTCTTAGAAACGACGACGTATTCCTCGTAGAGGCCTTCCCTCGCGTAGATGACAAAGTAGCCGTCTTCCGGGTTCGTATTGTTGGGCGCGGCCGCCACGGCGGCGGATATGGTTGTGAAGTTGTCGGTTTCGTACGGACCGACGGTCACAGCTTCCCGGACGAGGACTGATCCGCCGCTCGTCTGGCCCAGCTCCCCCGTCCTCCTCTCTATTTTCCGGCCACACTCTTTTTCCTTGTCGCACGTTTTGCGTAACACCTACCATGCATCATCATCATAATCATCATCATATTTATAATTCGACCGTTTTTGTTTTTTTCTTTTCTTTCGCAATAATGACGACAAGCATAATGCGACAAACTAGTTGTGTGTATAGAGAACGCTTAATGTACAAACATAGGAGACACCGGGTCCGAAACTCTCTAAAATGTTTAGTGGGATTTATCTTTTATCCACGTTATTGTTCTGTAATTCAAAGAACAGTCGGTCCAAAATCTGGATATTCCCTTATCATATAAGAAACACTAAATGATATATATATATATAGTAGAAATATGTGGAGCCTCGCTATCATCCTCTGTAAAACATGACTTAAAATCAGTATCACTTACATTTAGGATGATTTCAATGATTGAATTATATAACCAGAAAAATACATAAAACAACTAATGAATAGTATAATGTACATGATGAGATAATAGCCCATGTGATCAAATTTATTGGCTAAGGATTCACGTGGGGACAGTTGGATACGGAGTGGAATCCACGCGGTTTATTTAAATGAAATTAATATATACGTAGTTTGAAAGTCAAAAGGGGTTTTATTTTAAAAAAAAAGTATTATATAGTTTTCAGTTGTAGATTCATATGTACCGTACAGTTGGCAGAGTTGACTTTTCTGAGTCAAACCTGCGCCATGTGGCATTAACTCAGCAACCTAGGGATGGGTCAATTTCTCGTGATCTACGGTTATTCCATCGTTCCATTTTTAGTTAATTAGATTTTGACATTTTATTGTCGGGAAAAAATAAAGATTTTTTTTTTAAAACATGTACAATATTTTTTTTAATGAAGAATGAAATCAGGATCTAGTAAAATGTAGTATTGATGTGATGTAATGATTTTTTTTTTTGATAATTTGGAAGTTCACCGGGCCTTTGGCCCAACTACATCTCCCAGAGGATCGGGACAGTCCATGTGAAAACCCCTCCCCAACCAGGAATCGAACCGTCAACCTCTGAATACTTTACACTCAGCTGTTGATCACTCGCCCATAAACGGTTGGGTAAATGTGATGTAATGATATTACTAAACCAATTAAGAAGCATTAAAAGTTGGAGAAACGTTAATCATTTGGAGAAAAAGAAAAGGGACATGAAATACCTTGATCAAAGTCTCGAGAGGCTCACGCACAACATTGTGAGAACCACCGAAGATGTTCTTCCTCGAGCCTTTGTACCTCTTGAGATTCTTGTTGAGCGCGTGTGTCACAAGCCCCAACGACACGCTGTATAGGCGCGTGAGGTTCCCTAGCGGCGTTCCCATAGCCGCGGCCGCGAACTGGCTCTTGGCCTCGTCCAGGCCGTCGAGACACGTCTGCTGGTTCGTAACGACGCCGCTCAAAAGGCTAGTCACCCGCTCCACGAGCGCTTCCGTCATCACCTCCGCCCCTTTCAGCTCCTCCTCGACCGTCTCCAGGTAATCCACGCTTAGATCCGCCAGTTCGCCGCAGTCCGCCACCGCACCGACCTTTGGATTTAACATTTTCCGTTACCGGATTAAGGACAAGAGTGATCTATTTTGGTATCAATAAATAGAAAAGCTGATATTATCTCACATTTCTTATCGTAAAGTCATAATGCTTGATCATATGTTTCAGAATCTTGTTTATCTCCCAAAATTATGATTTTAGTTTATTATTTTTGGATTAATTATGATATGGTACTCACTCGTTCTCTATAGTGATCTAGAATCTTATTTATCTACAGAAATTATAATTTTGGTTATTGTTAATTCTGATTATGATATGATATCAAAATATTTTTTGAAGGGTTACCTCCTCGGGAGTTGAAATGGCCTGGTTGGCCTCGACGAGTTGGGCAAAGCGGTGGAAAGCCTTGGAGAGACGGCGAGCTTGTTTGAGGCATTGCTTGACGGTGAATTTGCCGTAACGGAAGGGATCGGACGGTGAGGATTTGAAGGCACCGAGGATCGTACGGCAGAGCTTCGGGTAGGGAGTTGACTTACACGCGGCGGTAGTTGACTGTGATGATGACGGAGTCTGCGGTGACTGTGACGTCAGCAATGGCCATGACAGCAAGACAAGGGACACGAGCAAGAGACATGACTTAGAGTACTCCACTCTTTGCATTTTGTTCTCTTTGCTTTCCTTCCTCTATTTTTTTTTTTTGGTGGGGCTCCTGTGAATCTACTAAGTACTACAGTATGGGGTTCTATTTAATGAATTCATGGAGTATATATGTACACACCGTGTATATATATATATATACACACACATTTATTTATGTGTGCGTATATGTGGATATGCGTGTACATAATGCCGCAGAGAGAGAAATTGATGGGCACAAACGATCCATCCATGTGAATGTGTAATTTGACTAATTTAAGTGAAATCTACAAATTTTCATGCATTTTTTTGCTGACATAAAAATATAAGCAGGTTTCTTGAAATGTCATGTGCAATAATTTTCCCTTTGGCCCAAAGGAAAGGCAATTAAATCTTAAAATTAGTGCATTCATACTATAAATTAGCGCATGTCATGTGCAATAATTTTCCCCTTAGATTTAATTTATATTTCTTAGATATTTGTATATTATACAACTAAGCTTTACTGCAATATATTTCATATATACATACATATTATAACACTGTATTTAAAATAATTATCATTTCCAACATATTCTCTTCTATATTATATATTTGTCACGTCTTATATTGTCGATTATGTTATTTTTACGGACTATATATATGAATATGATTAATGTAAGAATTCTTTCCCATTAATGAAAGAACCCGCTATCATTATATATAGTACGTAAATGTAGAATGGACTCAACCATATAGTGTGATTGCAGGATTACATTAAATTCATGTCACCGATATGAAATTTGATATATAATGATAATCATATATATGTGTGTGTATATATATATATATAGAAGACCGAATACGTAATGATTGGTTGAATGCATGTGAGGTGACTAAGGGAAGATGGTGAAATTAAGTGTGTGACGTTAAATAACACTTTTATTTGTTACGAAACATTAGGTTTCAACAATTCGTTGTCTCGCCAATTGGTATTAAGTACAAAACGGATTTTTACCTTTTTTTCTTGATCAATAAATTACATTAGTAATCAAATAATATTTCATAAATACATATATTTATATGATTTCTTTTTTTATAAAAAAAAATCCAATATCCTACAAATCCATATATTAAATTTTTAAAAAAAGAAATGCGTAAAATTTGTATATTTTTTAAATTTTCTAAATACTTTCACGTATCACTAAACGAAAAATTATGAGAGGTTAAGAACCACATTCGTGAAACATTAATATATCAAAACTCTGCAGACGACACCGTCAACGATTTTTAACATATATATTTTTTTCATCCCATTGACGTTGTACGCGGGGAAATAAGATAAAAACATATAAAATTAATATATTTTTCTTCTTTAAAAATATCAATTTGAATATTTGTAGGATGTTGAGTGTGACAATGTATTTTTGTGACAATTTAGAAAATATTTGTGGATACTGAGACAATTTTTGTTAACATCTATATAATATCCTGATTTTGAAAAAAAAAACATACTAATTTGAAAAAACGAAATTGCATGACCAACGGTCATCGCTAACTTTTCTTCTTATCAACTTGACCGAACCGGAAGAATTGCCGAGAATCTTGTTTTGGTCGGCCCATGCAGAAGAAAAACTCTAAACAACTCCAAAGGTTTCGAATGGCATTTTTTGTAAAAAAACAGCAACCCTGAGGGTTGAAAGTTAAAACCAACCAATTCCAACTACTGTAATGTATGAAGCTGTGTTGACGTTTCCTGGGTTCAAAGCATTCCAGAATTCCGATTTTACCCCTCGCAGCAGATCTTCACATCGACGAGAAACGAGGCGGTAACGGGCCTGTGATCCGAGAACCGGGACTCGCCTCTGGAATACGAGAGCTGTTGGATGCCGTTCCCGCGCCAGAGAATCCGATCACACCTGAAAAAACCGGCCATCTGTTTCAAACCCAAAGAATAGAACCGAACCAAATCTAAACCGATAAAATTTTCCGGTTCAATACCAGGCCGGAGTTCTTCTCTTGTTCTTCTCTTTGTTAGTCTCTCCAGCATAAGAGTCAGAGTTGTAGGAATACTTGTAAGTCGGAGCGAAGTATATCTTGCCTTCTTGCCATCCTTTGAACACTCTTCCTGCTTCTCGTTCGATCTTGAGCTGTTTCAAGAATCCGATACCAAAAACCCCTCTCAGTGTTTCGCTGATTACGTATTTAGATGGAACTTTGGAAATTCTGCAAACCCTTTTGAGATCCAATTCATCTGGATGCTTAACAGTAATAGAGATTCCATGTTCTTGCTGTTACTTTAGGACAAGAATCTGAGTACAGTTTGAAAATGTGACCTGATCTTTGTCGAGAAGAGCGGTTGACTTACACGCGGCGGTAGTTGACTGTGATGATGACGGAGTCTGCGGTGACTGTGACGTCAGCAATGGCCATGACAGCAAGACAAGGGACACGAGCAAGAGACATGACTTAGAGTACTCCACTCTTTGCATTTTGTTCTCTTTGCTTTCCTTCCTCTATTTTTTTTTTTTGGTGGGGCTCCTGTGAATCTACTAAGTACTACAGTATGGGGTTCTATTTAATGAATTCATGGGG